GGAAAATAATGGATTGTACGAGCCCAGCCTGAAATATTAGCAGGACAGGGGGCTAGGTCGGTCCACAGATTTGAAGATGGTCTAGGCATAGCTCTAACCGTATTTTTAAACAAGACTATTCAAACATGCTACACAATTGAATCGTACCTAGTTGTAGGCAAGTCGATCCATGCCAGCCCAACCAAATATTGACACCACTAAATACATAGTAGATTATGAGTTGGATTAAGTTAATTTCTTGATTCTGTGTTTGGGACTCGATATGACAATTGTCAAATTCTGTCATTAACTCTCTCAAATCTTGTCGAGTCCTATCCAGTGTAGCAATTGATTCCCTCTCTGCCTCCAATTAGTACAGCTATAGCAGCTAGATGGCTTGCCCAAATTTTTAACAACCATACCCACTTCTGTCAAAGAATTTAGTTTCCAAAAATCACAGAAAGCACATTCAACCAAGTTTAGAGATCAAATTTGCATTCAGATCAAGTTGCCTCATATGTTATAACTCAGGGATAAAAATTCGTTACTGCTGAGATTCATAAATGTAAGCATTCACAACAACACAACTCATTCACAGCATAAACTGAAAAAGTTGAATAAAAAATGTACCAGGTTCAAAGAGAACGTTTACACCGTGATCCTATCTCAGGCAGTTGCTGATTTTCTTGAGTACACAATGTACATGGGATCTGTGCGTCCAGGGTTAGGAGATATATCCATAGCCTACAAAAATGCAGAACAAATTATCACAACTTGGGCGAAAGGACTACATTAGATAAAATAATTACGTTAAACTTCAATAGCAACCTCCTCGTTAATGCGATTTAATTAGGAAAACTTTATGATTATGCTTAGATTTCCAAGTTTTTAATTGTAGAAGGAATGACTTAATAACTTTTGCCCAGTGCATTTTCTTCCAATTATCGCTATCGATAAAGAGTTGGCTCATCCGCTAAATATGGATGGGAAACGAATAAATAACATTTACGGACGATGGTTCTACTTTGGGAAATTTCTATTTGATAATCATCAGAATATTCATTCCAAAAACACTAGGTTTAAGTTATCAAGTAATAGCCAAAGCAGCAAATTCTTAATATGTCAAATTGGAAAATTAGGATGTACCTTAGGAGACTCAAACCCTCCAGCATAATGGAAATATGCTCCAACTATTACGACATGATCAGAATCTCCTGTTGAAGTCCATACCGAGATTGCCTTTGTAAAGAAGCAGCGATTGGAGAAGCTGATATACAGGCATAATCTACAGAATCAGAAATGATCCTCATCGAGCAAAATGCTAGATAAGAGAAGCGTTGAGAATTATTGGTTATATTAATATAAAAAACTTAAAACCCACCAAGAGTTCACAAAATGTTTCTGGAGAACCACCACGTTTTAAAATGTAAATAAGTTGTGCAAAGTCCAGCGATTATCACCTTATTATAGCTAGTCCACCAGGTTTAAGGATCCTAGACATCTCCTTGAAAACATCAATAGGCTTTGTTAAGTAGTCAACACTGACCTGCAAGGCAAATATATCCATGCATAGGAATAAAGGCAAAAACAAAAAATAATAATAATAATAAATACTTCTCTTTCATGAGAGATGCAGAAAGAATCTATCATATAAAAATAAATCTTTACTTAATAGCAGAAATGGGGTATTCATTTCCTTGTAATTTCCATTTTTTCACTTGGGACACAACTTGCACTAATGCACAAAAGCCTAGCCAAGGAAGTTTCTAGGGAAGCTTTTCCCACATTTTTTTGCTAATTAGAGACACAGTAAAATATAGAACAATGTCCCTTACTTCTCTTTGCTTCTATTTGTCATTTAAAGAATCGTCACTGGAAGGAGCCTACAGATTTTGATTTCAGATCAGAGGCATCAAATCTATGTAGAGAAATGCCATAAGTTTAGCATGTATTATTAATCACTTGACAGTTCAATTGAAGGGGCAGAAAAGGTCAATATGTAACATTAACTGAAAAATCTGAAGCCAAGCAGAAGGATGATGGAACTTCTTTTTCAAAGATAATGTTACAGGGCCACCTAATGTGTCAGCAATAGTGAAAATCAAGAATAAATTTTGAGTAACATGAATTCCTGCAATTGAAGTTGATGAGGTTTTTTGTTGTAAATTACAGAGACTAAAAATATTCAATAGCCAAACAAATAAGTACCCTGTTGAATGTATTGATCTTAAATATTTGTCAGATGTTGAATGGATTCACACATGGATAATGATTTACATGTGGATATGATGGACGTACCACATTTGTAATAACATCAAACGTGTCATCTTCAAATGGGAGTTTAGGATCAACATTCAAGTCTTGCACAACATAATCTGTGAGAACCTACAAAAATATGAAGTGAATTACACAATTCGTCAACTGGTGAAACTGTATAGTATTTAATAGAAGTCAAATATACAGTTAAAAGAGGGGGAAAAAAAAGAAGGGTCATAGAATCTTTTCAAATGTGTATAAGCGTTGCTCTTGAGACAGAAGCATTATCCTCAATTAATACTTGGCAAATTCAATGAAAGGATATGTAATGACCCAAAAGAATCAAATTTTCCCTTTTCAGACATTTGGTTTTCTAACAGTATGTAAAGACCAAACATTTCAGGTCAATGACTCGAGATGTTCAGCATTTCAAAAGTAAACAATGGACTCACCGGATTTCTCTTCAGCTCTTCTTCATTCATGCCCATTCCTACTATTCTGGCTTGCTTATACCCTTTAGGGTAATGACTGACCTAAATAAAATATAAGAATGACGTTATGATCATATGTCATTTTCAAATGAAGGATTGAATTAAGGTAGATATACTACCCAGCTGCTACACATGTCTAGTAGAGCAACTCCAGGAGTATCACTGGGAGGAAAAACCTAATATTTAGTGAGTGCAGCAACAGCTGGATCATCAATATGTGTCACAAAGCGAGGAGCTTCATAGAACAATGAATCTGGGGTCCTGAATATTTGGTTTTATTAGAAATGTAGCATGAAACCTAGACATTATTCAGATGCAGCAAGAGTTATGCAATACGAAAACAACTTCTTCAGTGGCTAAAATGGATCATAATTGAAAAGTCATGCAGTAACATCAATTATTGAAAATAGGAACGATGGCACTGTAAATTTCTTCGGTTTGTTGTTTATCATAAGCCCTGCAGGCAAGTTTTGTTACGATATCTGTTTTAGAATCGGGAGACAAACAGTAGTTGTCCAAGCATTCGATTTACTCTTGATTAAAGATGTTCTTGGTTCGAGGCTAAAAAATGTAACAAATGAAGAAAAGATGTCCCCAATTTTCTTATTCATCAAATGGAAAATGTGTGATATACCTTAATGTTAAACATATTCCATCTTCTTATGTAAGTCTTATATTGGCCACTTAATTTGCCCATTTATGTATAACAATAGACATATAAGATACAATAGAAAACCAATCACAATTTTTTCTTTGAACTTGTGGAGATTCTTTTCTACTAAATTCAACAAAATATAAACATCCATGTATCTTCCAAATATATCATATAAAAAAAATAAAAATAAAAAAATTGAAACTTCAAATTTTGGTATTATGAAATATGAAAGAAAAGTCCAATGCCACCTTAATCTCTCCACAACTTTTTAACCTATTGCCTCACAACTAATCGAGGAACCATGAAGCAGCAGTAGATGAGGGATCAAAGTGTTTGACAGAAATTCAAAATGCTAAAGAATTTGAGACTACCTTGAAATTAGGAATTATATTTAACAGTGTATGACGAGACAAATTAGCAAAGCGCTGGAAATCCTCCTCTTTGAAGGGGAATTGCTCAGGCCAGTCCACATTCTCTAATACCTTTAGTTCAAAGCAGAAACGAACACATAAACAAAAAAGAGACGTGCATGAATTACAAAACACTGAATTTGGGAACTAGAATAAATCATAAAAGATGCAGATATAGAACTATATTGAACTTCACAAAAGTCTGTTACTAACATAGTTTGGAAGTAATTGAAAAGGAATTTCATCCTTAAATGTTTTTGCCAAAGAAGACGAAAATCCGAATTTAGTTTTTAGCATACACATCTCATCTGTTTCTACCTTCCAATGACACACACTCTGACATCAAGAATGATGCATATTACACTTGGATTAAGACAATACATGGAAGTTCTGGAAGTTTAGTTATCGGCTTATCTACTCCAATTCTCTAACATCATGAGGGCAATACACTGTTGAATTCCTCAAATTTCATTCAAATAATTATCGCATAATAGAGATTGCCCAATTAATAACCAAGCAACCAGATAACCCATTAGGAAATTAAAAATAAAAATAAAAATAAAAAAATCCAACCCCACAAGGTGAAATTTACCTTCTCAATTGCGCCCTTTTGTCTTGCAGAAGCTACGAACGTTTTGGCACCAAAAGTACCCGCCATGTTCATCAACTGAGACCAAAATGAAACCCCAATTCCCAATACAACCCTACGAGGGAGCCTATACCTAATAACCCCCCGCTTAGCTACTCTTGAAAGTTGAACTGGAAAAGTGTGAGAAGAACTAGAAGAAACTGCTGGTCGAGGGGAACAAAAGCCCACCACATGTGGTACGCTTCGTTGCAGTTTGATGCCAAAACCATTTGCCATTTGGTTCAATAAATTCACTTTATACCTAATTAGTGTGACATTTTTAATTTTCTCTCTCTCCCCCCCTAAAGAATTCAAATTTGGAGCACTGATCATCTTATCTACATTGGGATTTTATCAAATATTTGGTGATTGATATTCAATTTACGTGGCCATCTTGCATTTCAGTTGTTTCAAGCCAAGTTTGGTTTAAATAAAGGGTTGATAAAAAATTTTAGTCTAACAATTAATTTAATCATACATTTCCTAAAATTCACAAATTTTTAGTCACGCATTTTTATTAAAATCTAGTAAAAATTTTACATAAGTTATTCAGTTGGCAAGTCAAGTAAATTCCTTTAACACTAATGATATTTTTATCTAGCCCATTAAGTGGAGATTAAAATTAATTTTTTAAGTAGATTTTAATTTTAAAAAATAGCAACAGAATCATTTCTTTAATCAATCTATTTTTTAGTTTTTCGTTATTTTGTATTTTTTACAAAATGTTAGAGTTTGTTTGGTACAGATTTTAAGCCAATTAAATTTTTGATCGTTATTTCATTATTCCAGTCTTCATTTTTTAATTTTTTTCCTCACGGACCCACTTTATCTCTAACGGTCAAAAAATCAATTATCAAAATCCCTACCAAACAAGCACTTAGTCCGTAAGGGTATGTTATTGTTTTGGATCTATATCTTTTTTTATCAAAAAATATTAAAATATGTGATTGAAAAGTTTTGAATCTCATAAAGCCCCGTTTGGCCCCTATTAAATTACAGTTCATTTTTTTCTCTCATATTTTCAATCATACAATTTTTCATAAAATAATGTTATACGTAAATCGAAAACTTTTCTTTCTTTTTCAACTACTTATTTTTTTAAAAAATATTATTCTACCCATTTTTATTTCAAAAAATGGGAGCCAAACGAGGGCAAAATATATGGATAAAATTAATTGTTGACTTTAATTTAAATTAATATCCAGATTTTAATCTCTATCAATCAGGACTTGGTGTCAAACAAGTAGATGCTCAATGGGGCAATTAAGCTCTTGTTTGATTTCAATCGAGTAAATTCTTTCAATTTCATCACTCATATCGATGAAAATTGATAACGTGATAATCAATAAATGATGTCAATTATTTAAATTGTACTTATTCTATTAAGAAAATAAGTGTTTGTTTGGTATGAATTTTGATAATTGATTTTTTGATCGTTAGAGATAAAGTGGGTCCTACTTGTGAGAGAAGAATTCAAAAATAACGGTTGAAATAGTGAAATAACAATCAAAAAATTGATTTTAATTGACTTTTAAGCTGTACCAACAAACTGTAAATAACATGCAATGAACTATGAAAATACATCTGAATGTTTTTCTTGTATACACAATTACATAGGAGAATGCACTTGTATACGTGTACACAGATCAATTTTTTATACTTTTGACATGAGAAGGCAAAAGATCTGAGTAGCTCGTCGATGAGCTCGAGTCGAACCGAGCAAAGACTTGAACGGCAAGCTAAGCAAGACTCTACTCGTCGAGTAAAGCGAGCAGGGTAGCGAACCTACAATGACCAAACGGTCACTTTAAAACTTTGATTCGATGGTCACAAAACGTTCAAAAAGTCCCAAAGGGTAATTTTTTTATACATATAACTTCATTAATACTTCATTATTCTATCCATTTTTCACACAAATTATCTACACAATTACATAGGAGAATGCACTTGTATACATGTACACAGATCAATCTTTTTATACTTTTGACATGAGAAGGCAAAAGATCTTAGTAGCTCGTCGACGAGCTCGAGTCAAACCGAGCAAAGACTTGAACGGCAAGCTGAATAAGACTCTACTCGTCGAGTAAAGCGAGCAGGGTAGCGAACTTACAATGACCAAACGGTCACTTTAAAACTTTAATTCGATGGTCACAAAACGTTCAAAAAGTCCCAAAGGGTAATTTTTTTTATACATATAACTTCATTAATACTTCATTATTCTATCCATTTTTCACACAAATTATCTACACAATTACATAGGAGAATGCACTTGTATACATGTACACAGGTCAATCTTTTTATACTTTTGACATGAGAAGGCAAAAGATCTTAGTAGCTCGTCAAAGAGCTCGAGTCGAGCCAAGCAAAGACTTGAATGGCAAGCTGAACAAGACTCCACTCATCGAGTAAAGCGAGCAGGGTAGCAAACTTACAATGACCAAACGGTCACTTTAAAACTTTAATTCGATTGTCACAAAACGTTCAAAAAGTCCCAAAGGGTAATTTTTTTTTATACATATAACTTCATTAATACTTCATTATTCTATCCATTTTTCACGCAAATTATCTACACAATTACATAGGAGAATGCACTTGTATACATGTACACAGATCAATCTTTTTATACTTTTGACATGAGAAGGCAAAAGATCTGAGTAGCTCGTCGAATCGAGCAAAGAGTTGAACGGCAAGCTGAGCAAGACTCTACTTGTCGAGTAAAGCGAGCAGGGTAGCGAACCTGCAATGACCAAACGGTCACTTTAAAACTTTAATTCGATGGTCACAAAACGTTCCCAAAGGTTAATTTTTTTTATACATATAACTTCATTAATACTTCATTATTCTATTCATTTTTCACACAAATTATCTACAAAACTCTTCTACATTCTCTTTACATAATCTCAATCAATTCAAATCTCAATTCAATTTATAGATTCTACATCTTTATATATTTCATATTTATACAATTCAAATCTCAATTCAATTCTTTACATTCTACATTATTCAATTTATGTTTTATTTTTCTTTACTATAATTCTATTTCATCTTTATACATTTTAATTCTATTACATGCAAATAGATCTCAATTCTTTTGTTAAGAGCTTGTTCGGTGGCCACTCATCTATGATGTCACAATCTCAATTTCACAATAACTTTTTAGGTCTCAACAATATCCCCATTCCCAACAATTTGTCTATTTGGACCTTGACGATGATCATGAAAGTGGTAATCCAATTGATTTGGATAATACTGATGAAAAAGTCGAGGCTTGGAAGGGATTGAAAATAATATTTAATAGACTTTGATAAAAATAATGAAATATGTGATTAAAAAATTAATTATTGACTTTGATTTTAAAAATAATATTTAGATTTTAAGTCCTATCAAACAAGGACCTAGTGTCAAATAAGTAAATGTTCAATGGAGGTTGTTAAACTCTAGTTTGATTTCAATAGGATACATTCACTCAATTTCATCACTTAAACCGATGGAAACTAATGGCGTAATAACCAATAAATTATGTTGGTTATTTAAAATAAATAACATGCAAAGAACAATGAATATACATCTTAATGTTTTTGTTATACATACATTTACATAGAAAAATGCACTTATAGACATGTACACAAATCAATCTACTTATACTTTTGACTAGAGGTGGCAAAAGAGTGGAGTAGCTCATCGGCTCATTGAATCGTCGAGTCTCGGCCCATGGGCTACTCCAACTGATTTCAAAACTAGCCCTAGCACAAGTCAAGTCGGTGACTTGAACAACAAGTTGAACAAGACTCAACTTGACTCGTCAAGTAAAATGAGTAGGCTTGCGAGCCTACAGTGACCAAACGGTCGCTTTTCAAAAGAAAAGTGATTTTTCGGTCACTATTAAGGAAGTTTCAATGGTCACAAAACTTTTGAAGGTCCCCAAAGGTCATTGAAAATCTATTTTATAACTCTATAAATGCTTCATTGTTGAAACCATTTCCACAACAAATTATTTACAACACTCTTCTACATTCTATTAGTTAATTCAAGTTTCAATTCAATTTATACATTCTACATCTTTATATATTTCATATTTATACAATTTAAATCTCAATTCAATTCTCTACATTCCATATTATTTAATTTATACATTTCATATTATTCACTTTACATTCTCCACTATAATTCTATTTCATGCGTTTTTATACACATACATATAACATACCAATGGATCCTAATTCTTTAAATCTGTTGAGGGCTTATTCAGTAGCCACTCAACTATGACGCTACAATCTCAATTTCACAATGAATTTTTCAATCTCAACTATATCCCCATTCCTGACGATTTTTCAAATTTGAGCTTTGATGATGTTCACAAAAGTAGTGATCCAATTAATTTGGATGACATTGATGAAGAGCTACATAATCGAAACTTGAAATTCCCAATGCAAAAAAGGAAGCGAAAGGGTAAAATATATGCAAAAAGTTTGGAAAGTTTAAATTGATTTCAACGGGTTGTAAAGTCGATGGAGTTCCAGAGTATTAAGTAGAATGTAAATATTGCCAAACAAGATCAGCATGGCAAAAGGGTATCGGTACTAAAATATTTTAATCATCGAATGCTTAGAAACATAGAAACTGTTCATGCAATGAAATTTTATTTACTTGATTTTTGGTGACGTCATAAATGTAGATATCTCATTATTTCTGTAATTGCAAAAGATCTACTAACACCTCCAGTTTGTAGTTTTGAAGTCTATTTTTAGTGCAAGTGAACTATGTCCAAGTTTAGGAGCTCACTTAAAGAAGACATTTTGGAAAGCTCTATATACATAAATAAAGGATTGGCAAAACGTCCATTTTTTAAGACAAAATAGGTATGATGAAATTGCGCTAATCAAATAAATGATATTTAATTTTGTCATATAATCAAACTTTGTTATTTTCTAAATAACATTTTGTTCATTAAAAGAATTGTACATGTTACAAGTTATTTGTGAACAATTTTAACTCCACCTGCTCGAAAATTAAGTAATAGATTCCCAAGCCTAGAGAAAAGAAAGAGTTTTTTTTTTATTTATAAAAAGGTGAGCTTGGCTCTTTACAAATGAGCCATGAGATCGGCTCGTTCTTGGGCCTACCAAGTTCGTGGGTAATAGACCCCGCATGGCTCAACCCATAGCCATCTCTACTTTTGGCGGAGAATAAATCAAAAAATTGATGGAAGGAAAATGGAAAAATATAATGCAATGATATTTCTTACACTCTCCTTAAGATGGGGAGAGAATATCATGAAGTCCCAGTCTTAAATTGTTGTACAAGAGCATCCCTTTGTTTTTAAATATCCATTGACAACCCATAGACTTCGTACATCCAGGC